CAGTGGGTAAATTGCTGCATACATTTGTGGCCAGTGGGAACAATGCTCCCCTTAGATTGGTGGCCAGTGGGGAGAATGTTCCCCTTGTATTGGTGGCCAGTGGGAAGAAGGTTTCCTTAAACTGGTGGCCAGTGGGAAGAATGCCCCCTTTACATTGGTGGCCAATAGGAAAAATGCACCCTTTACATTGGTGGCTGTGGAGAAGAATGTCCCCTTACATTAGTGGCCAGTGGGAAAAATGCACCTCTTACATTGGTGACTAAAAGAAGAATGCCTTCCTTATATTGGTGGCCAGTAGGAAAAAATGCACCACCTTCATTGGTGACTGGGGATAAGAATGTACCCTTACATTGGTGATCAGTGGGAGGAATGCCCCCTTACATTGTTGACCAGTTTGAAGAGTACCCCTTACATTGGTGGCTGGTGGGGAAGAATGCTCCCCTTAACTGGTGGACAGTGGGAAGAATGCCTCCTTTACATTGGTGGGCAATAGGAAAAATTCACCCTTTACATTGGTGGCTGTGGAGAAGAAAGTCCCTTACATAGGTGGTCAATGGGAAGAATACCTCTCTTACATTGGTGGCTAAAGGAAGAATACCCCCCTTACATTGGTGGTTGGTGGTCAGTAGGAAAAATGCACCACCTTCATTTGTGACTGGGGATAAGAATGTACCCTTACATTGGTGGTCAGTGGTAAGAATGCCCCTGTTAAATATCGTGACACTTATATTATTTAAGTGTCAGTCTTTAGGCGTTTGAGGCAAATTGTTCTAGTGCCAGGCTGACTTAAAAACAGTGTGACTTTTATTTAATGCACACTTGGCATCAAAAATGAATACAAAAGATAAAATAAAATACAGAGTAAAATATAACAAAAGTTGTAGATTATGGAAAAAAAAATAAGCTTTGGAGAAATGTCTAATCTCTTGTCTGTTCTATGACAAGTGTTTCAGTCTCGGCAAGGAAGACAACAGGTGTATCAAGGCTTTGCAGGCCTTACCAGGAGACAAATATGTCAGTGCGTGTCAGCTGTATAATGTCTTGATGTATGAGTGTGAGTGAGTGTATGTATCTCTCTATCTCTAAGGCACATCTTATATATATTTTACCAGACCAACCCACTAAACAGTTATTTCCTAATTCAGTGTGAGCTAAATAAGTAAAACCCTTTATTTGTGCTTCTTCTAAACATATACTCTTAGTGTCCATATATGTAAACCTTCTAAACTATACTTAGTATGACGTTATTTGAAAACCTCTTAGAAGACAGAAATATATGATACTGTCATCTGATTATAATGGCTTCACATATCTTTAGAAAGGATAATGGTCACATAAATGCATAGATATAACCAACAATAATTGATACTAAACTTATCACACACTATTCCTAACTAATAAATTGATTATATGAAATAAATTATCCAACTAACTATATTATGGATTAGACATGATTTTCTTTATAAAAGACATATCCTTTCTTTGTTCTACTACATACCAATATCTTTTACATTCCAATTGCTATTCTTAAAAACTAAGCTTATGACCTGCTGACCTCTTAGACATGAATATACCATGGTTCATCTTTAACACCTGTTTTCCAAAGCTTCATTCACACGTAAAGTTAAAATAACTTCTAAATGACTTTTGCTGTCATTTTGAAAGATATGAGACGTCTGTTTTAAGCTACATAATTTCTACAGCCCCCTTACATTGTTAACCAGTTTGAAGAGTACCCCTTACATTGTTGGCTGGTGGGAAGAATGCTCCCCCAAACTGGTGGCCAGTGGGAAGAACGCCTCCTTTACATTGGTGGGCAATAGGAAAAAATGCACCCTTTACATTGGTGGCTGCGGAGAAGAATGTCCCCTTACATTGGTGGTCTGTGGGAAGAATGCCCCCCCCCCCCTTACATTGGTGGCTAAAAGAAGAATGCCCCCTTTACATTGGTGGCCAATAGGAAAAATGCACCCTTTACATTGCTGGCTGGGGAGAAGAATGTCCCCTCACATTGGTGGTCAGTGAGAAGAATGCCCCCCTTACATTGTTGACCAGTTTGAAGAGTACCCCTTACATTGTTGGCTGGTGGGAAGAATGCCTCCATTACATTTGTGGGAAGAATGCCTCTCTTACATTGGTGGCAAGAATGCCTCTCTTACATTGGTGGTGGAAGAATGCCTCTCTTACATTGGTGGGAAGAATGCCTCTCTTACATTGGTGGGAAGAATGCCTCTCTTACATTGGTGGGAAGAATGCCTCTCTTACATTGGTGGCAAGAATGCCTCTCTTACATTGGTCGGGAAGAATGCCTCTCTTACATTGGTGGGACAGCATGCCTCTCTTACATTGGTAGCCAGTTTAAAGAGTACCCCCTTACATTGGTGGCTGGTGCACATTGCATGGGAGCTCAATCAGCCACAGCTTAAGGAACATGTAGCAACCTCTAAAGGAACCCGACGGTTCCACAGAACCATGGTGGAGAATGGCTGCAGTAGCATTTACAGAGGTCTTAACTGGAAACATTTGAACTTAATCAGTTAGAGGGGTGTCCAAAATACTTTTGACTAACCCTAACCCTACCTAAACCTAACCCTAACCCTACCTAAACCTAACCCTAACCCTACCTAACCTAACCCTAACCCTACCTAACCCTAACCTAACCCCAACCCTAACCTCAAACCTAAACCCAACCCAACCTACCCTAACCCTAAACCTAACCCTAACCCTACCTAACCCTACCCCTACCTAACCCTAACCCTACCTAACCCTAACCAACCCTAACCCTAACCCTACCTAAACCCAACCCTACCTAAACCTAACCCTACCTAAACCCAACCCTACCTAAACCTAACCCTAACCTACCTAAACCTAACCCTACGGTAAATTGTGAAGGTCAGTTCACACTTGAATTGATTCCTGTGTGATTCAGTGCATTGCAATTTTTAATCTATTCATTTGCATGAACTGCTGTTCAAAAACATACTGCACCAAATTGCATGGTATGAAGTACCACGCAATCCGCACCTGCACAGAGGAATGCGGGACCCGCGGGCAGGTGCCATTAATTCTAATGGCACGCCGCCCGCACTGGAAAACGCAACCGTACTGGGAACCAAGGTTCTCGTGTGGGCTATGTTTTCGGGAGAATTGCAGGGACTTCTTCCCTGCGGAGCACGGGAGTCCATTCAAATGAAAGGCTCTTGTGCCCGCGCAAAAACATGACCCGCACGGCCACATATATTATTATTATTATTATACAGGATTTATGGCGCCAACAGTTTGCTCAGCACTTTACAATATAACGGGAGACAATACAGCAACAATACCGTTCAATACAAGAGGGTTAGGAGGGCCCTGATCCTGGGAGCTTACAATCTAGGAGATGTGAACCAGGAGTTAATGGCTGCTATTTTTCAAGAAGCAGGTCAATTGTTTTTTCTTTTATTTATTATAGGCTTTTAATATTTTTAAGGAAGCAGGTATATTATATTTTTTTTTTTTATTATTACAAGCTTTAAAAGTTTGTCTTTTTTTTTTGGCTGATTCTTTGCGATTCAGTCGTACACAACCCGGAGATAAAAGTAGCTTTAATATGTGTTTGTCTCAGACATCAAAAAACACTTTTATTATTGTGATCTTTGCTTAATTATATGATTACTTTCTGTTTCCATGGCGCTGTTTTATGTTTTCTAGAAGCCTTTATCCTCACCTTTGTATTGTGCTCACCCACGGCGAAATCGTTCTTGTTTGTGTCACCCGATTACGGAAAGACAAACACATAAAAGGGGGGAGATTGGGGGTTCAGTGTGTGGGTGGGGTGGATAGGAACGACTTCTTAGGTTGCTGGTGACCTGTACATAATAATGGGTGTTCACGTTCCTTATGAGCGTTCCATAATTACAATAAAAAGTTTTATGCTGCTACTTAATTATTGAGCCATTGAGTGGGTTGGGTCAGAACCTCTGCCAGGTTTTATAGCTGTCGGTGACCCGGCTGGGAAGATGTACATTTACTTTTCTGTTTTAGTTTTAACATTTTGGACACAGCAGCGTCATCGGAGTAAAGAAAGTCATAAAATATGTAGCAATAAATATCTTATTATATATAATAATACATTATATTTTTTAAAGTGTTACCAAACCCAAAACAGTACAATCAGTCTGTAGATGCAGTAAAGCATGCTTGTTATACTCACTGTGGAACCTAAGGGGTTAAGCCTCTGCATTGTGTAAAAAAAGCTGTTTGATCCTGTCTTCTCGGCCCCCTCCTCTTGTTGAAATGGCCACCTGATAAAGACTGAATCTGTAGTCACGTGCACATGTTCAGTTTTGGGTGTGTATTGCTAGAGAGGTTTTTTTTTTCCTTGGGAGAGTGCATCTGATCAGCACAGGGCCAATCAGCACTGTCCAGACATAGGCCAGGGGTTCTACATCCTCCTAGACCAGTGATGGCGAACCCGTGGCACGCGTGCCACAGCCGGCACGCCGAGCCTTATCTGTGGGCACGCCAGGAGAATCCAGCGGCGCGCTGTCTTCCCGTCTGTAGTGTGTGTGACAGCCGGGTCCCAAGTGCGCATGCACAAGAAGCAGTGCTCTTTGTGAATGGTAAGGCGGTACCTGGGACACATGACAGATCCCAGAAGCCGCCGGACCAATCACAAAGCGCAGCGCTTCTCGCGCATGCGCACTGGGCATCCGGCTGTCCCGCCCACACTACAGAAGCCGGGAAGACAACGCGCGGCTGGATAAAGGAACAGGTAAGATAAAAAAAAAAACTCTGCGGAAGTAAGAGCGGGTAGCTGTCAAATTCAGGTACCCGCTCCCCCCCTCCCCAAAGGTCAGCAGTCATCCCTGTGCTGTCCGCAGTCTCTGGTCATCTCCTGTACTGTCCGCAGTCTCTGGTCATCCCTGTGCTGTCCACAGTCTCTGGTCATCCCTGTGCTGTCCGCAGTCTCTGGTCATCCCTGTGCTGTCCGCAGTCTCTGGTCATCCCTGTACTGTCCGCAGTCTCTGGTCATCCCTGTACTATGTCCGCAGTCTCTGGTCATCCCTGTACTGTGTCCGCAGTCTCTGGTCATCTCCGCCTGTACTGTGTCCGCAGTCTCTGGTCATCTCCTGTACTGTGTCCGCAGTCTCTGGTCATCTCTGTACTGTGTCCGCAGTCTCTGGTCATCCCTGTACTGTCCGCAGTCTTTGGTCATCCCTGTACTGTGTCCGCAGTCTCTGGTATCCCTGTGTCGCAGTCTCTGGTCATCCCTGTACTGTCGCAGTCTCTGGTCATCCCTGTACTGTGTCCGCAGTCTCTGGTCATCCCTGTACTGTCCGCAGTCCTGGTCATCCCTGTACTATGTCCGCAGTCTCTGGTCATCTCCTGTACTGTGTCCGCAGTCTTGGTCATCCCTGTACTGTGTCCGCAGTCTCTGGTCATCCCTGTACTGTCCGCAGTCTCTGGTCATCCCTGTACTGTGTCCGCAGTCTCTGGTCATCCCTGTACTGTCCGCAGTCTCTGGTCATCCCCTGTACTGTCCGCAGTCTCTGGTCATCTTCTGTACTGTTCGCAGTCTCTGGTCATCTCCTGTACTGTGTCCGCAGTCTCTGGTCATCTCCTGTACTGTGTCCGCAGTCTCTGGTCATCTCCTGTACTGTCCGCAGTCTCTGGTCATCTCCTGTACTGTGTCCACAGTCTCTGGTCATCCCTGTACTGTGTCCGCAGTCTCTGGTCATCCCTGTACTGTCCGCAGTCTCTGGTCATCCCTGTACTGTCCGCAGTCTCTCCTGTACTGTCCATCCTGGTCATCCCTGTGTCCGCAGTCTCTGGTCATCTCCTGTACTGTGTGTACTGCAGTCTCTGGTCATCTCCTGTACTGTGTCCGCAGTCTCTGGTCATCCCTGTACTGTGTCCGCAGTCTCTGTGTCCGCAGGTCATCCCTGTACTGTTAATTAGTTTGCACTACTGTACGAGTTGTTTTTTCTAAACCAAAAGCTCGATATTCAGGTTTCATTGCAGTGTTGGCACTTTGAAAGAAATAAGTTGGTTTTGGGTTGCAGTTTGGGCACTCGGGCTCAAAAAGGTTCGCCATCACTGTCCTAGACTATAAAGACAACTCCTCTTATAAGATTTAACCAGTGCTCTGCTGAAGTCACAAGACTGCTGTTTATTGCTGATGAGAAAAGGTATTTAGCAGTTTATATTTACTAAAATAATTGCATTTTCATGTTCTATGTACTGTGGGAGAGCGGATATAGTGAATGCAGGGTCCGAGGAGAGAGGATATAGTGAATGCAGGGTCCGGGGAGGGCGGATATAGTGAGTGCGGGGTCCGGGGAGAGCGGATATAGTGAATGCGGGGTCCGGGGAGAGCAGATATAGTGAATGCGGGGTCCGGGGAGACTAGATATAGTGAATGCAGGGTCTGGGGAGAGCGGATATAGTGAATGCAGGGTCCGGGGGGAGAGCGGATATAGTGAATGCGGGGTCCGGGGAGAGCGAATATAGTGAATGCGGGGTCCGGGGAGAGCGGATATAGTGAATGCGGGGTCCGGGGAGAGCAGATATAGTGAATGCGGGGTCCGGGGGAGAGCAGATATAGTGAATGCAGGGTCCGGGGAGAGCGGATATAGTGAATGCAGGGTCCAGGGAGAGCGGATATAGTGAATGCAGGGTCCGGGGAGAGCAGATATAGTGAATGCAGGGTCCGGGGAGAGCGGCTATAGTGAATGAGGGGTCCCGGGGAGACTAGATATAGTGAATGCAGGTTTCGGGGAGAGCGGATATAGTGAATGCAGGGTCCGGGGAGAGCGGATATAGTGAATGAGGGGTCCGGGGAGACTAGATATAGTGAATGCAGAGTCCGGGGAGACCAGATATAGTGAATGCAGGGTCCGGGGAGACCAGATATAGTGAATGCAGGTTCCGGGGAGAGCGAATATAGTGAATGCAGGGTCCGGGGAGAGCGGATATATGAATGCAGAGTCCTGGGAGAGCGGATATAGTGAATGCAGGGTCCGGGGAGACCAGATATAGTGAATGCGGGGTCCGGGGAGAGCAGATATAGTGAATGCAGGTTCCGGGGAGAGCAGATATAGTGAATGCAGGGTCCGGGGAGAGCGGATATAGTGAATGCGGGGTCCGGGGAGATCAGATATAGTGAATGCGGGGTCCGGGGAGAGCAGATATAGTGAATGCGGGGTCCGGGGAGAGCAGATATAGTGAATGCAGGGTCCGGGGAGAGCGGATATAGTGAATGCGGGGTCCGGGGAGAGCAGATATAGTGAATGCGGGGTCCGGAGAGAGCAGATATAGTGAATGCGGGGTCCGGGGAGACTAGATATAGTGAATGCAGGGTCCGGGGAGAGGGGATATAGTGAATGCAGGGTCCGGGGTGATCAGATATAGTGAATGCAGGGTCCGGGGAGAGTGGATATAGTGAATGCAGGGCCCGGGGAGAGCAGAAATAGAGAACACAGGGTCCGGGGAGAGCGGATATAGTGAATGCAGGGTCCGGGGAGATCAGATATAGTGAATGCAGGGTCCGGGGAGAGTGGATATAGTGAATGCAGGGCCCGGGGAGAGCAGAAATAGAGAACACAGGGTCCGGGGAGAGCGGATATAGAGAACACAGGGTCTGGGGAGAGCGGATATAGTGAATGCAGGGTCCGGGGAGATCAGATATAGTGAATGCAGGGCCCAGGGAGAGCAGAAATAGAGAACACAGGGTCTGGGGAGAGCGGATATAGAGAACACAGGGTCGGGGAGAGCTTGTTTTTGACACGTACTGGTGTGTTTTTTATCAGTGCTTTTTGTTATGCGTTTTTATGAATTCCAGTTCATTTTTTCTCCTCTCTTTTTGTTCAATTTAAATAAGGACATGTGTGTTTCCAGTGCATTTTTTATGCGTTTTGCCGCATTCCAGTACATTTCTGTGCACAATAAATGCATCCTGTTCTACTTTTTTTTTCAGCAACCGGAACGCACTGGAACTGCAAGCACCGATGTGAACTAAGACACTGACCACCATATCACCTACTTTCTGTGCATTTTAGATGTATAAAAAAAAGTAACTGAAATGCATGGAGTGTGAACCGGCCTTAAAGCTGAACTCTGGAAACAGCAAACTTTCATTTAAATATATTCCACAATTGCCACAAATGATGTAAATCCACTTTGTGTGGCATTGCAAACCTAGATATTACCATGTGAGAGCAGCAGCAACATCATCGCTGTGCTGTACATAGCCTGTGCCGAGAGTAGAGCTGAGGGAGGGGCCAGAATGCTCCACCCACTACAGAATACACCAGGAGGTGGGCGGAGACGAGACCAGGCATCCTGCACAAAGAGAGAGAGCAGCAGTGAGCGGTCTTTATTGCAGGAAGTCTCACACTGGATGACTGCAGATCTGGAAGAAATACACAAAACTCTCATATATATTATATTTGCTGATCCCGGAGTTCAGCTTTAAGGCAGTTCCGTTGCGTTGCGGTCCAGGAGGACTCTCTACAAATGACCACATTAATTGTGCAGCTAATTAGATCAAATCAGCAGGTGTGTTGATAAACCCTCCTGGGGGGTATATTGGTGTGCTGCTTCCCATGTACCCCTGATACCCTGGAGTGTGGGGGGTGCACTGTGAGATTGATGGGATACAGAAATCTCATGACAAGAACATTAACGGAGGCTGAAAATCTTTCAAATATTATATATGGGGTGCTATAAATAAAAGGTGTGCGGGTCCCGGCCGGGATTCAGGCCATATGGCTCTTTATAATCATGTTTGGTCTCTTGGGTGACACCGGTGTCCCTGAATCCGGAAAACGAAAAAAATTCTGCACTTTTGATATCAGGAGAGACAAAATGTAACAACGCAGATTGATGGATTGTAGATCTACCCCTAGCTCACAGCACTCACTAATTCATTATAATTCATTTATTAGTTTAGAGGCGCTGTCGGATTTTTTGGGTGAATTTACAGAATTTTGCTTTATTTAATTTGAGTGCTCCATGTATTTTTTTTTTTTTTTGTGTGTATTTACTTGTTAAGTGCTGTTTTTCTTTTCCTCTTAAATGTAACATTCATTTTGACTCATTTCAATGAATTTATTTGTTTAGACTTTAGAGGGTTTTTTTTTTTATTGTATTTAAGGAATTTTGGTTTATTTGATTTGCATGTTTCATTATTTTTTTTTTCTTTTTTACATTTATTGTTAAATGCTTACTGGTTAGTTTAGAGGCTATGTGGGCTTTTTTGGGTGAATTTACAGAATTTTGCTTGATTTAATTAGAATGCTCCATGTTTTTTTTTTGTGTATTTACTTGTTAAGTGCTATTTTTCTTTTCATCGTAAATGCAACTTTAATTTTGACTCATTTCAATGCATTTTTATTTGTTTAGACTTTAGAGCATGGGTTTTTTTTTCATTGTATGTAAGGAATTTTGTTTTTTTTTTTTATTTGCATATTTCATTTTTTTTTTTTTTCTTTTTTATTTAAGGAATTTTTGTTCATTTGATTTGCACGTTTCATTATTTTTTTCTTTTTTATGTAAGGAATTTCTGTTTAATAGATTTGCATGTTTCATAATTTTTTTTTTATATATAAATAAATATATTGTTAAATGCTTACTGTTTTTTTTTTTTTTTCATTTTAAATTTAACCTTAATTCTGATTAATAAAATTAGTTTATTTGTTTAGCGTGTGTGTGTTTTTTTATATATATATATATATATATATATATATATTTTTTTTTTTTTTTTTTTTTTTTTTAAGGAATTTTGGTTTATGTATTTATTTATTGATTTATTTATTTAGGGTATGTACTTGTTAAGTGCTTACTGTTTTTTTTTTTTAATTTTAAGTTTAATTTTGACAGATAAAAATAATGTATTTGTTTAGAGGGTGTGTGGGGGTATTTTAATATTTATTTCAGGTACTTATATAGCGCAGTCGATCTACGCAGCACTTTACACATATATATTGAACATTCACATCAGTCCCTAACCCTCAAGGGGTGTACAATCTAAGGTCCCTAACTCTCATTCATACATACACATATTAGGACCAATTTAGACAGGAGCCAATTAACCTACCAGTATGTCTTTGGAGTGTGGGAGGAAACCCACACAAGCACAGAGAGAACATGCAAACTCCATGCAGGAGGCACCATGGTCAGGAATCGAACCCATAACCCATTTACTGCAAGGCAGACATGCTAACCACTAAGCCACTGTGCTGCCCATACTTAATATGGAACTACACTGCATCTGAGCACCAAAAACCAACAGCACTAGTACATTCATTTTGAATATTCAACGCAAAGTTCTCATCCATCACTGACCTAATATCCAAGTACCGCCCAGCACGCACACTCCGCTCCTCACAAGACCTCCTTCTCTCTAGTTCCCTGGTCTCCTCCTCCCATGCCCGCCTCCAGGACTTCTCCAGGGTGTCACCCATCCTCTGGAACTCCCTGCCCCAACCCATCAGATTATCACCTACTCTCCTCTCCTTTAGGCGCACCCTGAAAACCCATCTCTTCAGGGAAGCCTACCCCACCCCCTGCTAACTTGCCTCCCTCCTCCACTCTTCCTACCACTCCATCCCCCACAGCTATCTCCTCCTGTGCCACCACCCCCTCCCTCCTAGATTGTAAGCTCGAAAGAGCAGGGCCCTCGATACCCTCATGTTTTGCATTGTATTGGTATTGTTCTGTCACATGTTCTGTCTCCCTTTGTAATGTACAGCGCTGAGCGAACTATTGGCGCTTTATAAATACTGTATAATAATAAATAATAATAATCCATGTCTCCATGCTTTATTTTGCTGAGAGATCACTTAGAAAGACACCCCCTAGCATCGCCGTCCATGGCCATCTTGAGTAAGGGCAGATGATTCATGTAGCAATTGCTTCCTGGGATCTATCTTCCCTTAGCTCAGGCATACAGGCAGGAGGGTGTGCTTAGCCTCCTGAAGACTCCTGGGATGTACGGCATCATTTGCCTAGGCATGGAAACCAGAAAGTAACAAAAGAAATGTAAAAAAAAAACTGTTTAAAACAAGTTAATATAATATACTTTCCTATCTATTTACTGATATCAGGATAAGAATTCAGAATAGTCAACGTTGATTGAGAGAGTGAAGTTCCACTTTAAGGAATTTAGATTTATTTGGTTTGCATGTTCCAGGTATTTTTTTTAAATGTTTTGTGTATTTAATTGTCAGGCTCCATGCACACGGGGCGTTTTAATAACACGGGTAACATTAGCTGTGTAAAGTCACGTTAAAAAGTCCTTCAGCGTTTTTGTATTAGCATGTAGTGGCATCTTGCTGCGTTTTTACGCATTTTTTAGAGTTTTATTTGACCAATAAAAAAAATTATTTTTTTGGTCAAAAAAAGTCCAAAAACGATGGTTTGCCGCGATTAAGTCCACACACACACGAGACGTTTTGATTTCGCTGGTAACATTAGCTGTGTAAAGTCACATTAAAAATGTGAGTTTTTCAGCTTTTTTTATCGTTTAGCTTCGTTTTCCTGCGTTTGCGTTTTTAGCTATTTTTTTTAACCCAAAAAATTTTTTTGGTAAAAAAAGTACAAAAACGCCGCTTTGCTGCGTTTTTACTGTGTTTTTCAGCTTAGTGTGTTTTTACAGCTAAAAAACTTCTCTAGAAACCCACTAGTTCTATTTTTGTTTTCCAGCCAAAAAACATCCCAGCCAAAAAAAGTTGATTTTTTTTTTTTCTACGGTTGAACTGGACTTTTGTCTTTTTTTTAGCCAGACTAACTATGTAACTATGTGTACATGGACACTGTGGGGTTTATTTACTAAAGCTGGAGAGTGCAAAATCAGACTCCCTTCTGCATAGAAACCAATCAGCTTCCAGGTTTCATTGCCAAAGCTTCATTGAACAAGCTGAGGTTAGAAGCTGATTGGTTTCTATGCAGAAGTGAGTCTGATTTTGCACTCTCCAGCTTTAGTAAATAAACCCCATAGGATCAGGGGCGGACTGACAACTCATGGGGCCCCCGGGCAACAGGGGATAATGGGATCCCCTGTGTCCTTGCCCAAACTCAAAAAAGCCTATGAAAAAGGTACCAGGGGCATCTCATGGGGCCCCCTACTGACCCCGGGCCCTCGGGCAGTGCCCGAGTTTCCGAATGGTCAGTCCGCCCCTGCATAGGATAACATGCTGGGTGGTTTACTAGTTGTAGAAAAAAATGTAAAAAGCCAAAAACAGCCGCTGTAAAAACGTCCCGTGTGCAGGAGGGCTTAAGTGCTTACTGTTTTTATTTTTTTTAAATGTAACTTTAATTTTTTTATTTGACTTTTTTTTTTCCTTTATGTGACAAAAACATAAAGTAATGAGGCTAACGAGGAGCTATTTTTTGGCACAAGAAGAGATAGTTGAAAAGAGCTTTTGGAGCCCTCCAGAGCCATTTAAACCCCATTGCACCCTTAACCACTTGTGCCCCCAGGCCTTTTTCTTTTTAAATTCCCTCGAGTCTCAGAGCATTTCTTTTTTTCCTTTTGGCGATGTCTTATGCGCACTGATGTTTTAGAATTTATAGTCTATCTTAACATATTATACATCATTTTTTTTTCGTGTCAGAACACATAGAAATGATTTTTCTAGCAGATATGGATACATATACTTTTTTTTCCCTTGGTTATTATTGGAAATAAATAGTAACATTTTGTTAAAAAAAATACAAAAATTTTCCTCTAATGTTTTCTCACGGAACATTTATGAAATTTGAAAAACTTCACATTATTAACAAAAAAATCAATCAACATAATCAATGCTATGTAAAATGATATCTATCACAGTGGTGCAACTATGTAATGTAGGAGAATGGCAACGCTCAAAGTGTGTGTTTTGCTTTAGTCCTCTTTTTTTTTTTTTTTGCTATATTGCAAGATTAATATTCAAAACCTTTTTCTTATCCTTAACTTAAATTAATAAATCAAACCATAAAAATAAATAAGTCCCAAAAAATTTATTTCCAGGTCCAACAAAATCTCTCAATTCTGTTTGTCCAACTTCAATATTTCCAGCACCCAGTGAATACCTCGAAAAAATGTATTTTTTTATTTTATTTCAGGTACTTATAGAGTGCCATCAATTTACTCAGCACTTTTACATATATATTGTACATTCCCATCAGCCCCTAACCCTCAAGGGGCGTACAATCTAAGGTCCCTAACTCACATTCATACATACACATACTAGGGCCAATTTAGACAGGAGCCAATTCACCTACCAGCATTTCTTTGGAGTGTAGGGGGAAACCTGAGTACAGGGAGGAAACCCACGCAGGCACAGGGAGAACATGCAAACTCCAGGCAGGTGGTGCCGTGGTTGGGATTCGAACCAACAACCCGAGTACTGCCAGGCGGAAGTGCTAACCATTTAGCTACTGTGCTGCCCAAAATAAAACTAAAATAGTGTATTACCTTCAAATAATAAGTATATACTAAAATCTGTGCAAAAATTAAAATTAAAATAGATTCAACTGTGAGTAACATGTGAATCGTGCAAAATCACTATATGTACACTATAAATAGACTAATACATAGTGACAAATTGTGTACACTCAAAAACAAAAATAAAATAAAAATTAAAAATAAATCAAATACAATATAAAATAATTAAATAAACAAACCAAAATAATTTTTAAACAAAAAAAAATTATATCATTAAATTAAAAAAAAATTAAAATTAATTAATAAAAATAAAAGTGAACACTCCGTGACCACCTCTATAATGGCAAGAATGCATACAATTACCCTCATGGAGTAATACACAGGGAAAAAAAAACTTGCTTTGTGTAAGAGCTTTATTCCAAAACCCATAAGTCTACAAAATATGTGCAAGTGCAAAACAAAAAATGTGCTAGAGCAAAACACCAAAAAGTACACTTAGGGATGTGCTTCAGTCCACCCCCCGAAGGAATAGGACCTCTTTTTTTAAGTCCGTGAACGTGGAAAAAAAAAAAACCCGTAAGTGAACAAAAAACATGCAAGTGCAAAACACCAACACAAAAAAGTGCACTTAGGGGTGTGCTTTGTCCACCTCCGAAGGGGTAGGATCTCTACCCTGATCCCCCGGGGCATGAAGCTCCTGACAGGGACAAGGTTCCCATGTGGTCCACCTAGCCAAAAGGCCTGGCGGACCACCGTTCCTTGTGGCCAGCCGAAGCCAGCCACCAAGTACTTGGTAAGGGGGCTCTCCCAAAAAGAAAACCCCCTAGGAACAGGGGAGGAAGGAACCCAAAAGGCCACACATCCTCCCCCTAGACTTCAGGGTAGGCCCGAGGAACCACACCCTACCGTCCGTGAGAAAAAACACATACATAAGTGAAAAGTGACAAAACGTGGGAGAAAAATAAATTACAAAATAAATAAAAAAATAAAAAAGTGGCCGTGCAATTGTGCACTGGATAGGCCCTGAGGCCCGTAGCATAAAAATTGCCCTGGACTTAGCCAAAAGGCCTAGCCCTAAAAGGTGCAGTGCAGGAAAAGTGTTTAGACCTGTGACCTTGTGTACATTTCACACTTGGGATCCCACCCCCATGTGTTACTAGGAGCACCCCTGAGGCGACCACTCTCAGGGGGCACAGTTCCGCGGACTTTCTGCCTCCCCGGCCCCTGGCCAGATAAGGTAGATCCGTTCAAATGAGGAGAAACTGGGCCCCTCCGGTTTTCCAGGGGGAATTACTACCCCGGGCCCCAACAGCCTGTGGACGCCTCGGTTTCTG